CCTGGTCCCTGTGCTACTTACTACCCTAGGGTGATATTTCTCTGCAGGTGCTTTTAGGTTGCTCGTGGCCTCCTCCGCCTAGGATTCTGATTTCTTTTTATGCACAATGGGCTATCCTGAAAACCGTAACGTGATGAGCTGAGGTTCGGGAAGACGGGGCTACGCTGGTTCCGAAGCTGCAGCTGGTGGCCCAAGGGAGGACAAAGTAGCAGCATCCCAACGCCTTTTCTGGTACCCTCTCCGCATCCTATTCCCTTGACACTCCCTCCTCCTAAATGCAGAGAGTACAGGTCTTTATTATTGTACGCTGTGCTGGGCAGCCACTCACCGGCCCCCGGCCCCACGCCGCTCGGCTCTGGGGACAAGCAGCCCTTCTGCGAACCCACAAAGCCGAAACTTGACTGCTGGAAACGATCAAAATCCCCTAAGGGTAGCGCCCGATAGCCAGACCGGCCGAACATGACTTCAGACTGCGGACACGCCCCGCGCCTCTACCGGGCGCCAGCCCTGCCCAGCCCGCTGCAGCTCCGCCCCGCCTCGCCCCCTGCCGCTTCCGGCTTCCCTTGCGCCGCTAAAGACGGTGGCTACGCAGGAGCAGGAAACAGATCGGGTCCGCACCCACGTCCCACAGCGCCCCCTCCTCTGGGAGGCCCGAACTGCGGTCGCACAGTTTGGGCGCTTGGCCTTGGTTCTAATCTAGAGCTTCATGAAGGGTCCTGGCCACCTCAGCCACCTCTTTCCTGACCCTTTACCTGGCCTTAAGAAAGGAGGAGAGGCTTAAAAAGAGCAATTCAGGAGCCTTTTTTCCAGAATCAAGGAAATGGCATCTGCCTTACAGCACTCCTCCAAACTCAACGCGCGGAGGGATGTGCTTTATCCAGATTTAGGCTTTCTCCTGGGCATGTTTGGCAAATTGGTTTTTGTTTCTCCACAGTCCAAAAAACAGAGCCTGTCATACAGAGCGCTGTATTTATTTGCTTAACGATGGCAGATCCAAGTCACCGTGGACAAGGTGAAGTCAGAAGGCCTGAACGTTGGTATAAAAGAGAAATTCCACATTCAGACACCTCAGGAAGCATAGTAGTATGTGGTGGTGGTGGAGGTGGTGGGGGTGGTAGAGGTGGTGGTGATGGAGGTGGTGATGGGAGTGGTGGATGTAGCGCAGATCCATAAGATGGCAGAATTATCGCAGATCCATAAGATGGCAGAATTATCACATCATTACATCAGACCCCTTGATCCAGGTACTTGAGGTAACTTGTCTTTTCATGGCTTTAGAAAGCCCAATGGAGGGAGCAAATATACTCCAATAGGATTCTGGGGAGGCTGCCAGGAAGCCATTTTATAAAGCCAACAAAGAATGAAACTTTCTAAATCTTGCCTCCCTAGATCCCTGCTATAGCCCATTTCCAAGTCCCTCTGTCTATGACTGCTGTGCCGGCAAATTTTATGTCGACTTGACACAGTCTAGGGTCATCAGAGAGGAGGAAACCGCAATTGAGAAGATGTCTCCATAAGATTGGACTGTAGGCAAGCTGTAGAACATTTTCTTAATTAACGATTGATGGGGGAGGGCCCATCCCATTGTGATTTCTATAAGAAAGCAGGCTGAGCAAGCCATTGGGAACAAGTCAGTAAGCAGCACCCCTCCATGGTCTCTGCATCAGCTCCGGCCTTTAGGATCTTGGCCTGTTTGAGTCCCTGTCCTGGCTTCCTTCATTGATGGACCACAATGTGGCAGTGTAAGCAGAATAAACCCTCTCCTCCCCAACTTGCTATTTGGTCATGGTGTTTCATCATAGCATTAAAAACCATAAGACAAGTTGATACCGGGAGTGAGGTTTTAGTTAACTCCAGATGTAGTCATGTTGACAACCAAAAAGAGCCATCATAATTCCATCCCTTGTCAACTTGACACCCAATCATGTTTCCTTATGTTGTGATTAATTTCCAAATGAAAACAATCAGCAGGTCATAGTAATGCCTAAACATAATAACTATCCCACATACAATTGCAAATACTTTATATATTTAACAATGTTATAATTACACCTAACATAACTATCCCTCATACAACTGCGGTGGCTACGCAGGAGCAGGAAACAGATCGGGTCCGCACCCACGTCCCACAGCGCCCCCTCCTCTGGGAGGCCCGAACTGCGGTCGCACAGTTTGGGCGCTTGGCCTTGGTTCTAATCTAGAGCTTCATGAAGGGTCCTGGCCACCTCAGCCACCTCTTTCCTGACCCTTTACCTGGCCTTAAGAAAGGAGGAGAGGCTTAAAAAGAGCAATTCAGGAGCCTTTTTTCCAGAATCAAGGAAATGGCATCTGCCTTACAGCACTCCTCCAAACTCAACGCGCGGAGGGATGTGCTTTATCCAGATTTAGGCTTTCTCCTGGGCATGTTTGGCAAATTGGTTTTTGTTTCTCCACAGTCCAAAAAACAGAGCCTGTCATACAGAGCGCTGTATTTATTTGCTTAACGATGGCAGATCCAAGTCACCGTGGACAAGGTGAAGTCAGAAGGCCTGAACGTTGGTATAAAAGAGAAATTCCACATTCAGACACCTCAGGAAGCATAGTAGTATGTGGTGGTGGTGGAGGTGGTGGGGGTGGTAGAGGTGGTGGTGATGGAGGTGGTGATGGGAGTGGTGGATGTAGCGCAGATCCATAAGATGGCAGAATTATCGCAGATCCATAAGATGGCAGAATTATCACATCATTACATCAGACCCCTTGATCCAGGTACTTGAGGTAACTTGTCTTTTCATGGCTTTAGAAAGCCCAATGGAGGGAGCAAATATACTCCAATAGGATTCTGGGGAGGCTGCCAGGAAGCCATTTTATAAAGCCAACAAAGAATGAAACTTTCTAAATCTTGCCTCCCTAGATCCCTGCTATAGCCCATTTCCAAGTCCCTCTGTCTATGACTGCTGTGCCGGCAAATTTTATGTCGACTTGACACAGTCTAGGGTCATCAGAGAGGAGGAAACCGCAATTGAGAAGATGTCTCCATAAGATTGGACTGTAGGCAAGCTGTAGAACATTTTCTTAATTAACGATTGATGGGGGAGGGCCCATCCCATTGTGATTTCTATAAGAAAGCAGGCTGAGCAAGCCATTGGGAACAAGTCAGTAAGCAGCACCCCTCCATGGTCTCTGCATCAGCTCCGGCCTTTAGGATCTTGGCCTGTTTGAGTCCCTGTCCTGGCTTCCTTCATTGATGGACCACAATGTGGCAGTGTAAGCAGAATAAACCCTCTCCTCCCCAACTTGCTATTTGGTCATGGTGTTTCATCATAGCATTAAAAACCATAAGACAAGTTGATACCGGGAGTGAGGTTTTAGTTAACTCCAGATGTAGTCATGTTGACAACCAAAAAGAGCCATCATAATTCCATCCCTTGTCAACTTGACACCCAATCATGTTTCCTTATGTTGTGATTAATTTCCAAATGAAAACAATCAGCAGGTCATAGTAATGCCTAAACATAATAACTATCCCACATACAATTGCAAATACTTTATATATTTAACAATGTTATAATTACACCTAACATAACTATCCCTCATACAACTGCAAATACATTATAAATTTAGAATAGGTGGCAATGTCCCTTGAGGGACATTCTTTTAGTATCTCAAACTTAAATATGATAACCATTGATATTTTCTTAATTGATGTTAGATCACATGATAAAGAAACTGAGGAAAGAAAACACAAATATTTGTACAGATTCTTAACAAAATATGGCAGAAATATCTGCCCACTGCATTTTATTGTTCTTAGCTTGATGGCCTAATTTTAGAGGTCAAGGAATACAGGTTAGCCTGGAAGTATGGGACACTTTCAAGGCCTCTCATAGACTCTAGGATGTTGGGTCTCTCTTCAGCACCCCTTCACCCCAAGTCTAAGTTTACAAAAGCAGGAACCTGTCACCATCCCTTCTGATCTGTTTCATATAGAAACACAGCATAGGATGGATGTACACAGGAGCCAGAAAAGTGGTTGGGAAAAGATGAAGTTGGAAGCCAAAGGCACTGGCCAATAAGACTACCTGCAGGTATGCCTTTTCCCTCACCCGCTGAGTTCTGAATTTCTTTTCACTGGTCAAGAGCTAACTTTCTATCTCCTTGCTCTCTCCACTGCTTCCCCCTGCCTCCCTCACATTCACCAGACTCACTGTCACTCAAGGCACCATCCTGTTCTGTCTTTCACCAATGTCCTTCCACCTGACTCAGGTCCTCCTCTGCAACCCCCAGTCACTTCTCATAAGCCTCCTGTCTCAAGGCCATCAGAGAGACACAGCTGAAGCCATGTACCAAACCTTCACCAATCTCCCGCCTTATGATCAATTTCCTCTTCTCTGGGACAATTCTTCAGGTGCTCCATCTCAAATCTGAAAATGGTCCTGACTACTTCCCAAACAGGCTCTCCTGTTTCAGACCTCCACCCCCTTCCAGGTGCTCATCTCTCTTTAAAGTGTCTCCGCAACGGTGAATCCTATTTTACCGTATGTTCCGTTTGTCAGCTGAGGAATGACTTTCCAGGCAGACATATACAAATACTGAGTCAAAGTCTTCACTTGGGGTGACTTGGGGGTTCTCCCAAAGTGGGGTGTATTTCTTAATAAAGAAATAGCCTGTCAAAGAGGGGTTCTTAACTAGGGAGGCACAAAGCTGTGCGGTGAGCTGAATAGCTCACAGAGAGATCTGCAACAGGGAAATGCCTCTGCCAACTCTGCATCTCTCCCAAAGTGCATATTGTGTGCGTGGCAGGGTCTTTTTCTCGTAGAGCAGTCAAACTCGCGATGTTTCTGCTTACAGAGCTATGCCATCACGCTGGGCTTGCTCGTTTGTTTGTTTGTTTGGTTAACCTCTCTGGTTCTACCAGAGGTGGCTCCAAAACTCCCCAATCTTTCCTAACTCCCGAAGGGTGACTTCAGAACCAGCCTCTCCGCCCCTAGACCCGCCCCAGTCCTGTCTCACTTCCTCTCGGGGGGCGGGTCCACGGCGGGTATCTCCCCGCTGGACAGCTGAGGCGGCTGAGTTTCGTTGCTCAAGTCTAGGATTCACCTCCCGCCCTCACAGACCCAATCCAGGAATCGAAACTGCACCGGTTTCCATGCAGAAGGCGCCCGCATCCTCTGGATCTCCCTGCCTCCAGCAGGAATCCATCCTGACCTCTACGCCCACCATGCCTTCCCGGGAGGACCCCTCCGAAGACCATGAACACAGCCAGAGCCCCACGGAGGTACTACTGGGTTAAGAGATGAAAGCCTGTTAGGGTTTTATTTGTTTACGTTGGTGGCGAGTTGAAAATGAAGGTTTTTATAGAGAAGGTAACTTAGTGTCCTAGAGAGACACACACCAAGGTCCTGACCCTCCTGTGTGGGCAGGGGTAGGAAGGATAGCATAGAATAAAAAGTTACCAGATTGAGTTAGGGAAGCCATGGGGATAGTTGGGTTGTAATGAGACGGGCCACTCCCACCCCGCAGAGCCTTGTCCTTTAGCTTCTACCTCAGATGAAAAACGTCCAGGGAGAAGGCCAGGCCAGGCCAGGAGTCCCGTTTGCTCTAGCCTGGAGCTAAAGGCATGCCCCAAACTTGACAAAATAATTTACTCCCCTCACCTGCAGCTGTGGTAGCACATGGCAGGAGCAACAGTACTCGAGATACAGGTGCTGGAGGATGGCCAGCCTTTTCTACAACTACAAAGAGTGTTCAAGACTGCCAAAGGCGACACAACAGGACCCGGTTTCAAATCAATATAAAAGAAACAAGTAAAACTTGGCCTCAACCAAAGTGTTGTCATAGCTAAAACCAAGGTGGCCTCTCTTATTTCTCTTACTGATTTTCATAGATTTACTTTATTTTTATGTATATGAGGTTTAGGGTTTTTTGTTTCATTTTCTTGAGATAGGGTCTTGGCAGGACTGGAACTCACTGTGTAAACCAGGCTGGCCTCAAACGCGTAGAACCACCTGTCTTTACCTTCTGAGTGCTGGGATTAAAGGTGTGCACCCTTTAATGCCCTTCTCCTGTCACTTCTCTTAAGGAAGCTTAGTTCTTGGTTCTTCTGGAAGTTTTACCTCCACCTGCCATACTTATCTCCAAAGAAACTACTTCTATCCCTTTCGTCTTTATTCTTTTTCCCCCATCCCCTTCACAAAAGCTCAAATAACGTCACATTGCCATAACTTTTTAATTATTAGCATTATATAACTAAGGATTAATAATACTAGTTAATATTTATGGGTATTTCTCATGTGCCAGGCACTATACTGAGCACTTTGTACCCTTTAGACAATAGCTATACTTCCTGTTTCTATGAACTTAACTATTCTTAATATAAATGAAATTGCACAATATTTCTCACTTTATGGGAAACGTGCTTCACTTATAATGCCTTCAAGGTCCATCCACGTTGTTGCATGTAATCAAAATTTCATTCCTTTTAAAAGATGGATGATATTCCATTACATGTGCAGACACATTTTGTTGATGCATTCATGTGCTAATTGACACTTGGGTCGCTGTGACTATTGTGGTTAGTGCTGCTGGGCATGTTAGTATATAAATATCTGCTTGGAATTTTCCTCCAGTTCTTCTGAGTATATATGAAAGATGGAAGTTCTGATCATGTAGTAGATCTATGTCTAACTTTTGGAGGACCATAAGCACTTTAAATGAGGTTGGTACTTTAGTGAGTCCCTTGCCAAGGGACCTGAGTCCCTTGAAGGCAAAGATGTATCCAGTCTTGTATCTCAGGGCCTATTAGTGAGTTTAGCGGTAAGTAGATAGGTTCCCGGTAAATTGTGCAATGAGAGCTGCAAGGCCTGGGTAAATGAGGAACTGGGGTGCTGATACGCCAGAGCATAACCCAGTGACTTCCCTGGAATGGAATGCGAGGTCCTACCCTTTCCAGCTTCCTGAGACCAGTGGGGGAGGGGGAGGAGCAGGACTCCTGTACTTTCTGTAGGCCTCATTTCCCTCTTTGATTTACCAGCAAGCCATGAAGGAGGAATTCCAGTTTCTGCGCTGCCTGGGCTGCCAGGCCCAAGCCAAGTGCCCCAAGCTGCTGCCTTGCCTGCACACGCTGTGCTCTGGATGCCTGGAAGCGCCGGGCTTGCAGTGCCCCATCTGCCAGGTGCCTGGGGCCGGCGCTAATGCAGAAGCCCTAGATAACGTGTTCTTCGAGAGCTTGCAGCGGCGCCTGGCGGTGTTCCGGCAGATCGTGGATGCGCAGGCAGCGTGCACCCGCTGCAAAGAGTCCGCTGACTTTTGGTGTTTCGAGTGTGAGCAACTCATGTGCGGCAAGTGCTTCGATGCACACCAGTGGTACGTCAAGCACGAGGCCCGGCCCCTGGCCGAGCTCCGTGAAAACTCAGTTTGCGAATTCCTCGACAGTACGCGCAAGTCCAACATCTTTTGCTCCAATTCCAACCATCGCAAACCTACGCAGACCAAGTAAGTGGGGCATCTTGGAGCCAAGGGTGGGAGCTTCAGGCAGCTTGTCATTCAACATGGGGTCCGCTGGCTTGTAGTTTCTAATGCCCCTCTGAAAAATATCATGGCGCTGCGGAATCATTCTTGCACCCTTACCTAGTACGTCTTTAGTACAAATTTTTTCAGAGTGCCATTGCAAGTGAGGTGTAAAAACAGTACGTTTTAATACAGGCCACCAAATTTTAGATGCCTTAAGAATGGATATTTCCTCAGGGGCCCCAGGAAATCTCAGTAAGGCTGGGTGTTAAGATAAGGAGCAAATAAATGGTGTCCGAAAAGTCGAAACTATGTCATCGGAGAGTGCCATCTGAAATTGTCTATATGAAAAGAACAATGAAAAAGAAATGAAAAATTCACTTACAATTATTTTGTTAGATTATTTTAATTTCATGTTTATATAGCTCACAAACAGCATTTGTACTAGATAGAAGAGAGTGCCATCTCCGTTCCATTTCCATCATCTTAGTTTTCAACACTTTGCCTCCTCCATAGGGCAGCTGCCATTACTAAATTTGACTGCCTCTTTTAAGTTTCTCTGTGAATATACTTGCAGGTAGGGTAACTTTATAAGGGTGTGTTTCTTCCTGTTTAGCCAATAAGGTAGTATATGATCAGTGGACTTTTTGACCATTCAGAAGTGGATTGCTTGCATACGGTTCTGCTTAATAAGGCTAGTAGTCATTGGGAAATCGATGAAAACAGAAAGCGTTTTCTCATTTGGGACACCCCTTGACCTACAGACTGTGTACTCCAGGAACTTGCTTCCTTCCTGAGTCTTGGAGGATTGGAGGCAGTCCTTCCTGCCTCTTTGCTGAATTCCTCAGCGTATATTTCGGCTTAATTTGCTTCCATGGTGCACTGTTAAGATCAAAAGACTTTCTGTCCATTTATTGGCCCCTGTATTTCTTCCTTTGTGAATTGCCAGTTTGGAGCCCTGTTTGCTTTTCCTTTGAGGCGTTTGTCCCTCTGTAAGAATCCATTACAGTATTATTTCACTTAGTATATGGTATCATATTTGAAATAACTCTTTAGTTTTAGGCAATCAGTCTCTCTTGATGTAGTCCAAGGAAGAGCCAATGCCTATGTTAGAAACAATCTCTATATGTCCTATGGTCTTTTTAGTATGACAAATTCAATGAATGTCTTTTCTTTTGAACTGGATTTTGGTTCTTAGGAGGAAAAACTCAATTTGGATCTTGATATACTATTAATTTCATTCCTAGCTGGGTTATATTTTGAAATATTTTAATTATGCTATTCTCTGTATGAAGTATGTATGGTTTCGGCATTAGGTTTTCTTGTCTGTTTTATACTAACCTCTTTAAATTGTAATTTTTCATTTCTTTGAGCATGATAATACAGTCCTTCATAATAGAGGGGATATTTGATTTCCCCAAGCCCCCAGAGAAGTGCTCATCTTCCTGCAAACTCTAAGCCACTTCAAGATTACTTATAAGCCAGGATGTCTTTAATACCAGCACTGTTGTAGCAGAGGTAGGCAGATCTTTGTGAGTTTGAGGACAGTTTAGTCTACACAGCAAGTTCCAGCCTAGCCAGTGCTACATAGTGAAACCCTGCCTTTAAAAAAATTACTTATAATGCTAAAAATATAAATGCCATGTAAATGGTTTTTTTTATTTAATATTTGGGAATAATGATTTTTAAAGGTCTTTACAATATGAATTGTGTATACGTGTGTGTATGTGTATTCACATGTATACAAGAGTGCCATGTGTGTGCTCATGTATGTGGAGACCAGGAGACAATTTTGGATGTTGTTCTTTTTTTTTTTTTTTAAACTAGTGGTTATGGAAAAACTTTTTTTTTTTTTTTCACCAACCCTAGTGCCGTAAATAGCCCTCAATTTCCCTTTGGCCACAAGTCAAAATAAACCACCCTAGCATTTGTCATTGAGCTGGCATGTAACTCATGCTGGGGAGCAGCACAAGAGGGGGGCCTTAAACTGGGGTTAGGGTCTGCCCTCAGGTCACTGGCATTTGATCATCATGCCTGTGGAGTGGGTTGTGTCAGCCAGCTTTCATGCCATGCCTGTAGTGTGCCATGTTCTCTAATAGTATTGGTGCATGAGTACAAACAGGCCCAGCCTTGCCTTCTTGGGTATCTGTGGGGTGAACAAACAAAACGAGCAGTGAGCAGCAAAGGCTGCGGGGTGACAAGGTAGGGAGCCTGTCTCACTAAGCACCCTTCATGCCTGTGTTTTTACAATGACTCTGATTACAATGTCTCTTCTGTTATGGTCCCTTGGCAGTGCTACCTGCGCAGGACATGAATATCTAATGTGTGGTCAGAAGGAAGAAGAAAGTCATAAAGGTCTAGATTGTAGAAAACCACCTGCCCAACCTGGATGGACAGAGAGGCAGCTTCTAAGAGGGTGTCATATTGACTTGGATTAGCAGTCCTTCTAGGAAGGAAAAAAAGGTCAGAAGGGGGAAGGCTTCATGTGCAAGATAGCGAGACCACTAGAGAATCTATGAGTCTTAGAAATTATACTATACTGGGGTTGGAGAGTTGGCTCGGAGGTTAAGATAAATTCCCTCACCCTCAGAGAGATAAACTTATCTCTCTGGCTGCTCTTCCAGAGGTCCTGAGTTCAATTCCTAGCAACCACATGGTGGCTCGCAGCCATCTGAAATGAAATCTGGTGCCCTCTTTGAACCTGCAGGCACACATGCAGGCAGAGCACTGTGTACATAATAAATAAATAAATCTTAGAAGAAAATAAAAGAAAGACATTGCGACATTGCAGTATACAGGGACAGGAAAGGTAAGCTGGGGTCAGACACACGGGTCCTGGAAGAAGTTATGATTCTATTCCATACTTTCCAGAACATTCACCCTGCTCAGCTTACTCCTTTTTTTCATATACACACTCGTATCTTGTCGTTGAGAACCCTTCAGAGTGATAATGAGACAATGGACTACACTGTTGGAAGCTCACTGCTTGAAGTCATGGCTAGACCCTCTCCCTGAACTCTGGTTCTTTGTCTCAAATGGGCAACTTTGACAATTGTTAGGCCAATATTTATTTATTCAGCTACATTCTTATTTCTATTTGACTCCTGTTCATAAGAATTTTGACAGGATGTATTTCATATGTTGGGTATACTCAGAAACTGAAGTATAGAATCTGGAGGGAAAAGGAAGCCCCCTTAGGAAATTGAGATCTGTGAGAAGGGGGAGAGGAAGAGAAAGACTGGGTCCCACACTGTCAGAACCTGTGGGACCTGGAGGCTCACCTGAGAGGCCTTTCACCTATGAGTGACAGGGATCTAGGGCTCTCTGTGTCTGGATATCTGAGCCTAAAGTTTCATGGCTTGGGGTGAGGGAATTTATCCAGGGCTATCAAAGTCTGTAGGCAGATACTATAGTTGTATGGAGAAAGTGGAATACTTATTAATCAAATTAAAGAAGTGTAACGGGGGCCGAGCAGTGGTGGCACACATCTTTAATCCCAGCACTGGGGAGGCAGAGGCAAGCGTATCTCTGTGAGTTTGAGATCAGCCTGGTCTACAGAGTGAGTGCCAGGACAGCCAGAGCTATACAGAGAAACCCTATCTCAAAAAACAAACAAACAAAAAGAAGTATGATAGGATCAGAAGCCCATTGGAAAGTCTCCAAGATAAGAAGCTGGAATGGTTGGCAACAGGTGTCAGAAAGGCAGCTCCAGGCAGGAACCAATAACATCCAATAGCAAAGCTGTGACAATGCAGGGAAGAGCTGGGATGCCACTGACGGGGGACATGTTGATGGTTCCGCTTAGCATTGGGACCGTAGTGAGGCAAGCCAGGTGCCAGGAGTACAAACTTGAAGGAGACTCTCACAAGCCTGGCCCACATTAACCCTCTGGGAGAAGTTACCTAAGTTTGCACCCTGGATGCCTTGCTGACACTTCCTTACCAGCCCTGCCTGTCCCCACCCTCCCAGCCATCTTTTAGTGCATTCCATCTTCTTGGGGCTCGTGATGTTACTGAGATTGATTTCTGGCCAGGGAGGAGCACCGCCACGTGGCAGAAGAAAGGCTGCTGCCAGCAGTTGCGCACCATAGCAGAAAGGATAGTAAATGACTCCTTTCTCGGTTTCTAAATACACTGGCCCAGGAAACTTGGTTTTAGACCCAGGAATAATCATGCTGCACTTGATAGGATACTATGTGTATAAAGAGATTCCCCACAGACACCTGGCCCTTGTGATGTTTCAGAGACAAAAACAAGGAATTGAACATAACTCAAGGCAAGATCAGGGTTAGGGTGTTAGTCCCTGGAAAGGCTGGCCTCTCTTCTCCAGCAGTGGCATTGGGCTTAGCTGCTCTGAGATGGGGTTGGGAGACTTTGGACAGTGTTGAAGAATGGTTAGCAGTGAGACTTAATGGTAGCAGGCTTTTCTTGTTGATTCCTAACTAATAAAATGAAGCCAACTGGAACCACATCTGTGTGTCTGTCCATCTGCTACTGAATAATCAGTTAGGGAGGCATCCGTTTACTTCATGCTGGGCATCGAAACAGCTGTTGCCAAGCAAATGAGAACTGATGTTAAAGGCTGTGTTGAGTATGCACAGTACAGTGCTCCCTGGTGAGGACTCATAGGCCCCGGGAGATGGCTTCAGATACAGTGCCAGGCAAGTTGAAGGAGGGAGACCTTGTATCTGACTGTGAGGAGGATTACAGACAATTTTAAAAACATACTTTGGAAAGGTTTGTTTGGTTCCATGAGTTCCATGAAAAACAATTGTAAAAATGAGTGAGAAATGTTTAGCTTCTGGAGTGTAAAATGGCTGATAGCTCATATAAGCCAGGGAAGGTGGGCTGGCATCTGACCCCCAACCCCTGATTAGATACATAGATTGTGTCACCCGGAAGGTCTCCCTATTTCTGTGGCCTGGCTTTCTGTCAAGGCCACTCCATTTACAAAGGGCTCTTTCCCCAGGGTTGCCAGAGATTTTC